TTCACATGTTTTCACCAAAGTCACTTTCATCAATCTTCAACCATGAGCTAGCCCATTAAAACCTTGAGGTTTAGTTGACCAAATGACCCCATTTGGAGCAACTTTCACGTTGGAAAAAAGTCCATTTGAGTTATGCAAAGTATTGAACTTGACCTGTAATTTTATGACCTGTAATCATAGTTTTCCAAGATGAACCCCACACAAGCATCTGAACTTCTCAAGGGCATGAACCACTTCCTGGTGACTTTAGTGATTCCTCAATCTCGAATAAAACCTCTAGATAGGCCTCTCTCGATGTATATCACACTTGATCCACTGCATAAATGCCAATGCAATGCTATGATAATGCTATGATGATGTTATGCTAATGCAAAAACAAGAAGGAAAAGGTTGGGCAAATTTTGGGGTGCAACACGGCGGCGTTGTAATTGACGGGTACCGGATTGGGAGGTGGACCCACAACTCAGGTAGTAATCAAACCTTTTTGCACTAAGAAAGGATACAACTCGGTGAAAGTCATCAGAATCGGAGGACAGGGCTTGTATGGTCTCCTATTTTGACGAGGTATCGTCTCCTTTGATGGTTGGCACACGGGAGCGTTGGGCACTCGTTGATAGTTGACAGGAGCTTTTGCAGGCTGATAAACAGGAGGTTGTTGATAGACCGGGTGCTGATAGACTGGAGCCAGTTGCACAGGCTGATAGGTAGGAAATTGAGGACTGAAAGGAGGTGTAACAATAGCTACATAGGGTTGTTGAGCATACTGAACCAGATAACCTTAAACATAACTCTGCTGATGTTGAAGAGCAGCCCTCAAGCGATTCCTCGAACGTGCAGATCCTTTGTAATGGTCAAAGCTCGGAGTTTTGCACTTCGGAGGAGTAACTCGTCGAACTGGTTGAGCAATAGTAGGATTCACTGAACTGGATTGACGATCCTGAGGAGGTATGTTCTCGACAGTAACAGCTGGTTGAGGATCCAAAAGAGTAAGGGTAATCTCAGAAACAACAGTAGGTTGATTATCCATCTTCACCTTAAGGGCTTGCAGCATCTTCATAATCTGCCCCACACTTCCTCGAAGATCTTCGAGTTCATGGCTTACACGGTCGATTTCTTGAGCTTGTTCTTCCATCCTTTTTCGAGTTTGGGCTCTAGTATTGTACTGATACGGAGGACCCAGGGTGACGAAACTGGCAGGCGAGAGAACCGAGAATAAGAAACCGGGAGACACATGTGATGCAAAAATATGATGCAAAAAATGCGAAATGCGAATGAAATGATTTCATGGAATTCAAAATATTTACGAATATTGCGGAATACCAAGACTTTATTTATTAATTTGAAAACGGATTACAAATAACATTCTTAGAAAAGTCTTGGCATAATAGCTAAATAAAAGCCAATAATGACCCTAAGGAAGCTTCCTGTTCTGCCCCTTGATCTGCTCTGCTAGCTGGGCCTTTTTGAGGATGAGCCTCTCTTCAAAAGGTAGATCGATAGTTAGAGGAAAATAAATCCTTCATCAAAACCAAACAAGGGTACGTTGGAAAAGTCTTCATAATTGTTGGTGATTAGTGTCCTTGATGTCGGATAACTTCGAGCATATGGCTTTAGCAATGGTCTTGTCCTTTAGGGTCTTTCTCCAAGAAAGGGAACAGAGACTCCTTCAGAATAGGTAATCCCACCAATTGAGCGTACTCTTCTAGGGTAGGCAAGAGCTGGTACTCGAGGGATGTAAGGAAAAGATAATCTGGATCCTAGAACTGTAACAAAGTCGAAAGGAAACCTTCGTCTACTTGAGGTTTCAACAAAATAACGGCCTTCCATACTTGTTTCTGGATCCTTTGTTGATCTTGAACCAAAGCTCCTAGCTTCCTTAGGTCATCTAACTTAAGTCCTTTAAAAGAATATCTCAAAGTTTTTTTTGTAATCCATGGTATCCTGCAATATTCATAAATAAAATTTGAATTCCATGACATGTGATGCAATGTGATGTCTTATGGATGCAATGCATATATACAAAGTCCTAGGTTAAAGGTATGTACAAGGAGTTAGGGTCTACCCATCCCAATAAGGTATGTACTAAGGTTAGTTGTACCTGTAGAACAAGGTTCTAAGAAGTGCCCAAAGTCATTGGTCCATCCTTCAGATATTATCAACTTTCCGACTGACTCGGGGGTCGATAATATTCTCAAGAGAACCTCTTTTGAGTGTAGCATCGCGTAGCAACCATTGTAGGACTACTCCCACATAGTTCCCGCACTACGTCTTATATAAGGCCAAGTTGATGTTAAGGTAACTACGGTCCTCAATATCACAGACTCCAATCGAAAATAGTAAACGTTTTCACGACTAACTCGATTAACCGAACCATTTTTGAAAGGGTCTCAACTGAGCGGTGATTCTCGAGTCAACTTGGTCAGGACTCACTCCCGGAAAGCCTCGTCGAATATCTCACCTTCCTATAATAAGGTCACTCAAGTTCGGGTTAGGACTTATCTCACAATAACAGGGTACCCCCCAAGCAAGGCACAATAATAATATATACAAGAGAATAAATAATGAAAAATATCATACAATAAACAAAATAGGGATAACCCTTAAAAGTTATGGCGGTCCCCAGTGAAGTCTCCATTTTCTGTTGCGGTGGAAATAGGATATCAAACTATTAATAAGTTTGAATCACAATTCTTAATTCACAACCGCTCTTTGATTTATCCGAAGGAAAAGGTCAAAAGAGGGAAAACCTATTTTTGCATCGTAAACACAATGCGGGGAGAGACCTAGGTAAGGGGTTGGTTAAGTTTAGGGAAGGTACTAGCACCCTAAACTTTTGTAGTACTCTACAGGAACCTTTTGTTTATTGTATGCTTTTCTATTTTATTATCTGTTTGATGTATATATTGAGCTAAGGGATAGAGTGACCTAAAAGACCTAAGGGTTAGTCCTAAGTTTACTCGGAAAGACGTCGCATCTTGTGCCTACGTATCCTGGGTAGGGAATAGAATCAGAGTAATCGCAGTTCCCCTCGAAAGGGAGGTTAGAAACTTCTTGACTGTGGTCAAGGTTTCAATGGGGAGTAAGCATTTCTTAAGGAAACGCTTACGTGGAGTGCGGAGACTCCAATCTCTATGTTGAAATTGTTAGTCGAAATTAGGGTTAAATTAGGGATTCCACGGCGGGAAACCCTAAACAGAGTACGGCGACTCTTTGACCTAAAGCTAGGGTAAAGGGCGTTTTCGTCCACGGCGAGACACCTAGGCTATTAGGGTTTTGGAAACGGTCAAGAATTAGGGTTATTGACTCGACGGTCAAACGGCTAGACCTAATCCTTCGAAAGGGAAAATTAACGGTAAAACATGCAAACATGGAAAAATATTATATGGCAGAAATTAAAGTGCAGAAAGTAAAGAAAGCGTCGCGACGATCACTCGTGTAAATAACAAACCCCAAAAAAAGGAAAATAAAATAAAACCGCGACCGTGGCCTCGCGTAAATTACATCCATGGACCAACATAAATTGAATAAACTAATCAGAATTTAAGTATAGTCTGAGGAGAAATACAGAGAACATTTGTGAGAAGGGTTAGACAGAAATATGGTAAAAAATGGAACAGTTAGTATTGAAAGAAAGACAAACTGCAATTTGGAATTTTTATTATTGTTTTATAAGTTTTGAAAAAGGATTTTAGTTTTGATTTTGAAGAAAAGAATTTTGATCTTAGTTTAAAAAAGGTTTAGTTTAAGTTTTAAAAATTTGTTTTAGTTTTAAATTTTAACAAAACTCTAATTTTAATATTTTAGAAAAAACAAAATTTAATTATTATTTTGTGAGGAAGAAAGTTTTAACTTTAATTTTTTTAAAAATGTTTATCAATTTTTTTTAAAAAAGTTTTATACTAAAAAAAACAAAGTTTTAATTTGTATTTAAAAAAAAGGTTTTTATTTTATTATCTAAAAAAGTTTTTATTTTAGAAAAGCTTTTAAGAAAAAGTTTTTAATTTGTTTTATAAAAGTAGAACTTTCACTTATTTTTAAAAACAGAATTTTCAATTAAAAATAAATGTACTACTAAAACAATAAAAGGGAAAACAAAATTTGGGTTGGGTTATGGTTACTGCTGCATGCGGCGCCGCTGCCATTGTTGCCTGTTGAAGCTTTTTCTTCTTCTTTGCATGGCCACGATCCCTTCTTCTTTTCCTGCAAAAAAACATCAAAAGAAAACACCCGTTAGAAACAAGAGTTACTCACCTTTCACGGGTTTGAAGTGACTTTTCTACGATGGAGTTCGTTGATGATGAAAGATGATGGTTTTTTTCAAAAATCTCTCCTCTTCTGATAAGTCGTGAGAACGGCCGCCGTTTTTCTCTTTTGTCTCCTTCCCCCTTTATCAAATGCAACTCATGTTTATATAGGTAACAAATTAGGGTTAACTCTAACCTAATGCCAACTTTGAAGCCCAACTTAAATAATTAGTCAAAACTAAATACAATATAAACAAATTAAAACAAACTTAAAACCCTATTTATTTACTAAACATTAAAAATATTATAAAAAGAATAAAATATTTTCTAATATTTTTAATTTTATGAATTTTGGATGTTTTTATGAATAATATGGAAAAAAGTGAAAAAATAATATTTTTTAAAAAATAATTTAAATAAAATACGAAAATAATAATTAAATAATAAAAAAAATATTTTTGTTATTTTTTTTTTATGAAAATAGAAAGTTAGAATAAAAATAAAAGAACCAAAACAAAAAGTGAAGAAGATGGGATTCGAACTCTCGACCATTCACACTCACAACTCCTTACACACGGTCTCTTGTCAATTGTGCTATTTTATTCATTCAAGATAAAGTAGCACTAGAAACCCTGTAAACTAAAACAGCGCGCCACATGATATTTTCTTGCAACAATCAAACAACTGCACAACCCGTTAGTGGTTAGTTTAAACACAATGCAACATGAAATGGGATGCAAGCTGAAACGACTAATCTTAGGGCAAAATTTGGGGTATTACAGTTTTCTTCATAGTGTTTGCAGTGATTGGTACATCAGAAAAAACTTTTGTTAAGTGTGGTGCTTGCGTTTGCGTCTCCTGATCCGGCCTTGCATGTTCCTCATCTTGGTTGTCTGTCTCATTTAGAGTACCAGAGTCATACTTTGTGGTGGGTTGAGGCGGAATATCTGAAGGCGAACGGGTTTTGTTCTCATTTTCAAACTCTGATGGAATGGGAGTGAAAGAAGATGGAGGATCCATGTCGTAGAATTTGCGGAGTTGCGAAACGTGGAAAACGGGGTGGATCCGTGAGGTAGAAGGGAGATCCAAATGATACGCGACCTTTCCAATCCTGCGAAGAATCTTGAAGGGACCGTAACATCGTTTGGAAAGTTTGTGAGAAACACGGCGTTGAACCGTAACTTGGCGATAAGGCTGAAGACGCAACAAGACGGGATCTCCTTCGGAAAAGCTAATGTCACTTCTTTTCTTGTTACTTTGTATTTGCATAAGTTTTCTGCTATGTTCCAGATTGAGTTTCAACTTATTAATGATGTCGTTTCTATTTTGTAGGGATAGATCCACCATCTCAAGATATACAGATCCGGGGTGGTTAAGAGGAGGAGAAGGGGGAGTGCGTCCGTAGAGTGCCTCAAAAGGTGACATTTTGATGGAGTTATGATGTGTTATTATATTTTATACTATTATTTATTTCTATTATTTTAAAAATAATAAATAATAAAATAAAAATTAATTAAAAATAATAATATAATTTATATTTTACACGTATAAGTATTATAAAAAGCGAGTGTCCGTCCAAACGCTAGTATGTATAAAGAAAAAAATTGGATTTAGTGTAGCCTATTTTTATTTCAATTATACCATTTTATTTTTTATTTTAAAATTCAGTTTCTCTTTTACTAACTTCTCTTTCATTCAAAAATTTTATATAAAATTTAAATTAAAAAAATAAATAGACAAAAAATACGTTTATGTTTTTAAACGTCTGAACATTAAAAAAGCAGACAGACGGATACGAAAGTACCTATCTGAATGGTAGTGAATGATAATGGAATAAGATGACAATATTTTTTTAAATTTTTTGTGTTAGTAACCGATTTTTTAGTAAACCTTTTTTTTAAATATGATGAGCACGTGTCACGCGGCCACTCAACTTCTTTTTCAGTTTACAATATTTTTTATATAAGTTAATTAATAAATTGATATTTAAAAAATGATGGAAAAATAGATAATTATATAAGGATAATTTTGGAACACAAATAAGTCAATCCAAAAACTTATATCCTTTTTATATATAATTATAAATTATAGATTATAGGTACATCCAAGTAATTTAACTATTAAATAACAAGCTCTAATTCTAACTAACTTAAACTTAAACTACAACTTAGAGTATATCACAACAATTAATTCAACCCTTAATAAATCTCTAGTGCTTTCTCCATCTCCTCTCTTTATAGTTTTATTTTTGTTTATTTCCATCTCTTCTCTTTTTATTTTTATTTTTATTTATTTCATTTTTGTCGCATATTGATAGAAAGGGTTTAACTACTATTTTCAGATCTAGGGTTTACCATAAACAAAGCACAAGACTAAGAACAAACAAAAGATAGAAATAAAAATGTCTTCTTTCTTGATACTTCTCTAGGGAGAACCCAGAATAAATATACAAAATAAAGCTTAAATTGGGCCACAACATATAGGCCCAACTAGGAAAAATACTAAATAAAAATTAATACAACATCTTATTTTAATTCGTAATCCCCCATCCACTTGGGTTGAATGCAAATACATTTGGGCCTACTAACAATACTATCCGGCCCACAGACAACCTTGTCCTCAAGGTTGGACTTAGTGTGTGGGTTAATGGTTTGAAAGGATTTTGCCCAAGGTTCGGGCGATTTTTGAGGAAGAGTAGAGTTGCAACGGCTAGTCGGGGATAAGTGGGAGACAGCTGGGGTCACGCATGGTTTGGGAGAGTGTGCATGTGGGCAACGTGGCTGCTTGGGAAAATGCCCAGCACGTGAAGAATCAGGGTTGGGCGGTGGGTTAGGAAGGCACGTATCACGAGAGGCAAAGCTGGACGGTGATGATGGAGCCTTGGGAAACTTTAGATGGACATGTGGCTTGGATGCATGTTCTCCTCGTGCTTTAAAAGATGGTGTGTCAGAGTCATAATTAAAGTTGGAAGTATACTTAGTATTTGGAAAAACGGACTCTCTAGATGCATTTGAGATTGCTTCAGCGTTTTGCTTTCCTCTCTCCTTATCTGTCTTCAAACTTGAGTCAATGTTAATTGCTTGAGTTTGCATGCCATTTTGTTTTATATCTTGAGATTTCCTTTCTCTTTTTTCCGAACCTTCACCGAAAGCCATCGTTTTCTTCATAGTGTTTGCAGTGATTGGTGCATTAGAAAAAACTTTTGTTAAGTGTGGTGCTTGCGTTTGCGTCTCCTGATTCGGCCTTGCATGTTCCTCATCTTGGTTGTCTGTATCATTTAGAGTACCAGAGTCATACTCTGTGGTGGGTTGAGGTGGAATATCTGAAGGCAAACGGGTTTTATTCTCATTTTCAAACTCTGATGGAATGGGAGTGAAAGAAGATGGAGGATCCATGTCATAGAATTTGTAGAGTTGCGAAACGTGGAAAACGGGGTGGATCCGTGAGGTAGAAGGGAGATCCAAATGATACGCGACCTTTCCAATCCTGCGAAGAATCTTGAAGGGACCGTAACATCGTTTGGAAAGTTTATGAGAAACACGGGATAAGGCTGAAGACGCAGCAAGACGGGATCTCCTTCGGAAAAGCTAACGTCACTTCTTTTCTTGTTACTTTGTATTTGCATAAGTTTTCTGCTATGTTCCAGATTGAGTTTCAACTTATTAATGATGTCGTTTCTATTTTGTAGGGATAGATCCACCGTGTCAAGAGATACAGATCCGAAGTGGTTAAGAGGAGGAGAAGGGGGGGTGCGTCCGTAGAGTGCCTCAAAAGGTGACATTTTGATGGAGCTGTGAAAAGTTGTGTTGTGCCAGAATTCTGCAAGATGTAAGTACTTGAACCATATTGTCTTGGTTGGTCGCTTGTGAAACAACATAAATAAGTCTCTAAACAACGATTAACAACTTCTGTTTGACCGTCTGTTTCAGGATGATAAGATGTGCTATACTTCAGAGTAGTGCCTTGAGCGTGAAAAAGTTCCTTCCAAAATGTACTCAGAAAAAGGGGGTCGCGATCGGAGATGATTGATTTGGGGATGCCGTGTATTCGAGAGATCTCTACTGCAAAGCGTAAAGCCAAATCTTTTGCTGAATATTTGGTGGGGAGAGCAATAAAGTGGCAGAACTTAGTGAGTCTATCACAGACGACCCAGATCAATGTATGGCCAAAAGAGACTGGTAAGTGTGTAATAAAATCCATGGATAGATCTTCCCATACTTGGTTCAGAATTGGGAGAGGTTGGAGCAGGCGCTTTTTTTGTGTTTGATATTTATTTTTCTGACAGATCAAACAATGTTGAACAAATTTTTGTGTGTCACTGTAGATGTCGGGCCAGAGGAATGAAGAAGATAAGCGAGCTAAGGTTGGTTGAAGTCCTGAATGGCCACCAGAAGGAGTCAAATGGAACTCTGTTAAAATGTGATTTTGCAGTGTCACCATTGGGGGTATGTAAATATTCTCCTTATAGTAGATAAGCTTATCTCTAGTAAAAAAAAATACTCATGTGACTCTGGTGTCATAACACCTTGTGCATGGGGTTCTGACCATCTTTTTCAGTTTTGTAGTATTGTTGGAGTTGGCTGATGAAAAGAAGAATGGGAGAGGAGATAGACAACAACATAGCGCCTTCCTCAGTGTGAATTCTGCTAAGGGAATCAGCGACCTGATTAGACTTGTCGGGTTTGTAAAAGATTTCGAAATTGAAACTCTAAAGTTTAGCAGCCCATTTCTGCTGTTCAGGAGTTTGGATAGTTTGCACCAGTAAATTCTTTAAACTCTTCTGATCTCGCAGACATACACTAATGATTCCTGTAGACGGTTGCAGAGTTTCTTACTGAAGAAGGTCAAAGGATGTCCCTGTTGAGATAAAACGGTGCCAACTGCTACTGCAGAAGCGTCAGTCTCAAAGACAAAGAGCTTAGAGAAATATGGAAGACGCAAAATTGGTGTTTCTGTCATGTTTTCTTAAGTGTTGTAAAAGATGTCTCAGTAGATGTACTCCAAATTAATTTATTAGAACGCAATAAATCGGTGAGAGGAGCGGCGAGTGAGGCATACTGGTGAACAAATCGTCTATAAAATCTGGTGAGGCCTAAAAATCCCCTGAGAGTCGTGAGAGAACGTGGCGTAGGCCAGTTGATGATTTCTTGGATCTTTTCCGGATCGGGAGTGACACCATCACTTGAAATAATATGCCCTAAATAATCCACAGTCGGAACAGCAAAAATACATTTGGATAATTTGGCATAAAATTGGTTAGATAGTAATAACTCCAAAACTAATTGTAAATGAAGAACATGGTCAGAAATGCAAGAACTGTAAATTAAAATGTCATAAAAAAAACTAAAACGAACCGCCTTAAGTATGGGTGAAGCAAATCATTCATTACCGGTTGAAAAGAACTAGGAGCATTAGTAAGACCAAAAGGCATAACTAAAAACTCGTAGTGCCCATCAAACATTTTGAACACAGTCTTGTGCGTGTCTTTTGGCGCAACCCTGATCTGGTGATAACCGGATCTTAAGTCAATTTTAGAAAAAATAGTAGCTGAACCCAATTCATCAAAAAGTTCATCAAATGTGGGTATGGGAAAGCGATCTTTAATCGTTACGGCATCTAAGGCTCTATAGTCAACGCAAAATCGCCAAGAGCCGCCTTTTTTCTAACTAAGAGTACATGTGAAGAATAAGCGTTGTGGCTTGGTCTAATAGTGCCCTCTTGTAGCATGTCATGAATGATTGTTGTCATGGCTTCTTTTTGTGAGTGAGGATATCTGTAAGGTTTTACGTTGATGGGGGTGTGTTAGGAAGTACAGGGATGTGGTGGTCATGTAGTCTAGTTGGGGGTAGGCCTTGTGGGGTTTGGAAAACCGCAGCATAAGATTGTAAAAGTGATGTAACCTGTTTGGGTAAAGAGGGTTAGCGGGACTCAAATGTATTATGGTTGTGTGATGATGGCTCAGGTTGGTAAAGTAACAGATGGATGGAAGCAATTGAGTCAGTATGGACAAGGTGACAAAGTTGTTGGTAAGAAGAATGAGTAGGAAGGGTTTTTGGATCACTTGTGATTGATATTTTGTTGTTGTGGTAAGTGAAGGAAATCTTGGGTATTGAGAAATCAGCTAGGAGGGGACCAATGTACATAACCATTCCATGCCGAGGACAACGTCGGCTCCTTCAATAGGGATTAAGTGGAATGGAATAACAAAGAGGTAATTTTGTAAGGTGATAGGGACTTATGAGCAGAGTCCCGAGCATGATAATTTGAAGCCATTTCCCACCATCACAGAGAAGTTTAGGATTGGTGTAGTTGGGAGTTTTAAGTGCTGAGCAATGCGAGGCTGTAGTATATTGTGGGTGCTTCCTGTGTTAATTAGTACCGTGACAATGATGTCGTGGAGTAAACCGTTAAACTTCAGTGTCTTG